ATCTACTTTCCATATCCCACAAAACTGCTCCCAATATGCACTAACCATAGAAATGACAAACTCAATAGTTTTGAAAGACCCTCAAACCACTGCTGCCCTTCAAAGGTCTGTAACCCAGAGAACTCCACACCTTGCTGCTGATGACATCACCTACTCATGTAAGCCCCCTCTCTGGTTTCCTCCTCTTTCTCAGAAATCCCCTTGCCCTCATCGCCTTCTGGGTAGCGGCCCAATGCTGCTGTCTCTGGAAGATATCTTGCAGAGACCTTTGCCTCTCATACAATCCTGTCCAAGCACAGTCCCAGTAAAGCTTCTGTGTGACTGTCTTTCACAGTCCTGTCTCTTCCTTATTCAATACCCCAATACATGGACCACAGAGACTTTTAAGAGGGAGGCAGAAGAATTACAGTGCATAGTAGGAGATACTACTATGGAAAGAAGTTGGAGTGATGCCAGGAAGGAATAATGAAACAAGGAAGGCAGGCCAGTCCTAGAAGCTGAAAAAAGCAAGGAATTGAACTCTGCCCTGAAGCCTCCAGAAGGAACATAGCCCTAACCAGCAACCTGATGTCAGACCTCTGACCTTCAGACTCTAAGAAATTTTTGTTTGTTTAAAGCCATTACCTTTGTGGACATTTGTTACAGCAGCAATAGAACACTAATACATCTTGTATACACACATAACTATAAATGTTTCTACATTGACCCTTCTTTATCTATATTAACATAAGCATGAGTTCATACCAATCTCTCCAACTCTAATTTCTTATCATATGAGTCATTGTAGCTGTCCCATCTTACTTAACTAACTTTTCTCACCAAGAGTGAGAAACCTGTCTTCTATCATCACACATCCATTAACTTATTTGCCTAACCCAGTACCCATTCAAGCAATTTTAGAAATATTATTCTATACACTCCTAGGAGAACTTAACGAACCTCAGCACAATGTTTTGTCTTTGGCCTAATCCCAGACTTTTTATTTTTTAGTTACTGTTCAACTTTTAAATTTTGAAATATTTTCCATGCATAGAGAATTTGCTTCTTTCTTCCTGGAAAGCTCAGCACTATAGATGCTTCCCCTACTCGCATCCCATTCCTCCCCACTGGGTGCCTATCTCCTTCCTCTGATAGACCCACCAAGAACTGCTTTGCAGGGTTTTACACCTGCTTAACCCCAGCCCTACTCCCATCACTGCACTTCCGCATCCAAGTCCCTGGCCAGCCTCAGAGCACCTGGTGTCTGTAGCTTCCATAACCGTCCCAACTCAACCACCGGGCTCTTCCAGAAGCTTCTACCCAGACACACACACACCTGTATGCGTAACTGTATGCAGTGACACAGGAACAAAGTGGTGAAATATTGAGAGGATTGTAAAGGATGGGAAGAGTATTGGGACAGGAAACATGAATTGAGATTCAAGACAGGGGAAACTCAGAGCAGAAAGGCACCTGGCCCCACATCCTACATGGACCTCTGGAAAAGAGACCTGCCCTCAATGCTCCACTTCAACAGGAGGAGGCAACAGGAGCTCAGAAATGACAGCCTGGCACTTAGGAAAGCAAGGTTCTGACATGGTGCCCTAGGGTCCCCCATGAGTCATTTGTAGCATAGGTGAGTTACAGCTGCAGGCCCAGAAAGAGACTCCACAAAAGAGTTGAGAGAACTGGTCAACAAGGTGAGGCCAGGGACAGAAAAAAGGAAGACCCAAAGCATGCAACTCTCCTAATTGCAAGCCACAAACAACTGCACAAACAGCAACTCAGACACCAGCCGCAGATGCCGGTATATGCCCAGGGCCAGGTAGAATCAGTAAGAATATCCACCATATGGTGCACGCCTGTAGTCCCAGCTACTTGGGAGGCTGAGGCAGGAGAATTGCTTGAACCCAGGAGACGGAGGTTGCGGTGAGCCGAGATCGCGCCTTTGCACTCCAGCCTGAGTAACAAGAGCGAAACTCCGTCTCAAAAAAAATAATAATAAATAAAAAAAACTAATATCCATCATAAGTGTAGAATGGGCAATGGCCAACATCCAAAGGTCAAAGGAGATGAGAGAACAAAGAGGCAGGTCCATCCTTCTTGTGCAGTCATTTTATTTAAGCTCTCTCTCTATCTAAATAGTCTCTTGGGGAGGAAGAGGAGAAAAAAAGAGAAGGAAGAGGAAGAGAGGCTAGGGAAGGAGGAGAAGAAGATGACTAGACAGAAGAAGGAGAAGAGTAAGAGTGGCAAAGGAGTGCATGGGGGCTTCTTGGAGTCTTCAACACTGATGGATTTTGTATAGCACCCATTGGGGGATATAGCACAAAATATTTTCCCAAACATACTGGCCAAGAGAATACATTGTTTATAGAACAGTTAACATCTCATAGATCTAGTATTCCATGAAACAGTTTCAGAAATATAATTCATTAATGTGGTGAAAAGGGGTATTTGACCTAAAGGATGGGCAGTGAGACTCCTAAGATCCTTTCCCTTCTCAAATTGCCTTTGACACTGGGCTGGTCATGCTCTGAATCCCCTTCTTGGTTTTCTCTCTGAGCATAATATAACTATAAACTCTTTCTTAAGTATAAACCCTTTCCAAGCTGCCATAGCCTGCATTGCTGTAAATGGGGACTATGCCTGGTCTAATTTCATTCTTTTAAAATTAATCCAGAGAACATGCAACTGGGGTCCTTCAATTGAAAAGGAGACCTCAGTCATGTAACACTGTGCTCAGAGAGAGCAGCCGGAAGTTGTTGTAGTTTCTCCGCATTTCATCAATAATCACTGATTTGTAATACAGAAGACAGAAGAAAAACAAAAAGCAACATCAGTGGAGCTGGGCCTTGAGAGTCCCATGTGAACTGCAACAAACAGATTCATTACTCAACTCCCAACATAACCTTGAGAAGGCCATCTGTAGTTGCCAGTGGCTGTGTCAGTGCTGAAATGGAGTCATCACCCAGAACAGCATTTCTAAGAATCCCTGGGAATAGGGGCACCCAGTATGTGGACAGTGTACTGAGCGTGGGCCTGGATGGGCATAGGCGGCTGGGAGCAAACTAACCAGCAACTCATCCCATTCCATAGAGAAGGTAATGATAGGAACATGAATAAAGTTCCAGCTGCTATGGGAGACCTGGAGAGGAGGAGGTTCTTTGTATTCCATGTGTTAAGGAACCCCTCAGTAACCGGTGAGACACTGCAGCTTGGGCCCCTCTGGCCTGAATGGCAAGAATAGAGTTCCTGACAAATGCAGCCCAAGATCTCCATGAAATCCCAGGGCGAGACCTGTGCCCAACACCCAGCATGGCACATCTGCAGGCAGGACGAACTACAAAAATCCAGCTCTCTTTTCCTCAGGGGTAAGATTTTGATGCCTACAATGCAAATGTCCCTTTGACAGCTAACCACGCATCTCACAACTCTCTGGGACAGAGGTCCTGCAACCAGTTTTCAATTAAAATTGATAATTGGCAAAACATTTAAAACACGCTAACTATAGAGAGGAAATGTAGCTCCAGTTGAATGAAAATTTTCACAAACGGTGAGTATTGACCTATTTAAGGAACAGACAGTGCCAAAAACATTCTGACACTGACTTATGTATTTAGACTCTGGTCCTCCAGAGCTACGTCTCACCTTTGCAGCTACAGGGCTGCTTATGGCAATCGCCATGACTCTCTGCCTTAGGGGCTTTTTGTCTCACAATTGGAGCATGCTAGATATGACCCAAGGCCAACTGAAGGTGACAGGGATTTATATCTCCCATAGGGGAAGTACCTTAACAAGTATGGTTGGGTATTTTGTGGCTAAATACCTGCAAGCCTTCTCATCCTGCACTTGGGATGAATGTGAGGTATGTGTTCTACAAAGTCTCCCATAGGGTCCCCCTGGGAATTAATTCCAATCGCCCACAGTGGAAACCTGCTAGCTTATTCCTCCCACTTAAATTGGCTGCATTCCTTGTATATTTCACCTCCCCACACCCTTACCTGTGCTATCAGGGACTCCCTCTCAATTAAGCACTTTCTACTCACAAGTAGGGTCTATTTCCAGGGAACCCACCCTTGAACACCTTGTATGCTAATTTATCCTCACACTTGAATGCCTGGCTAGAGTAGAATTGTAGGCTCAAAGTTATTTTGCACCAACATTTGAAAGACCATTCTTTATTTCACGGGCATTTTTGGTTACCTCATTAGCTCCCTTTCTCTTTTTCTCAATTGAAGAAGTATATCTCTTGGGAGAATTCCCTCCCCATTCTGCAAGCCACTCTCATTTTAAATTTATTTGAGTTCAACTTCTACCCACTCCCTCTCCCAAACTTCAAGAAAGACAAATCAAGACCTCTAAGTGGGCTCCTTAAAGCCCCATCTCCCTAGAAATTTAGGGTTGCAGGGCCTCACCATGTGTCCACTGTCCACTCAGCTGCCCTTCCAGCTTCTCTAAGCAGGGCCCCTCGTGACTCCAACACCCCCAGACTCTACAACGTTAGTAAACATGTTCTCAAGGGATAGTAGCTAGAGTTCATCTGCTGTGGCCTTGGGTAACACAGAGACTGGTGGTCAGAAGGACATGGATGAGTGTGGAAACCATCATTCTCAGCAAACCGACACAAGAACAGAAAACCAAACACCACATGTTCTCACTCATAGGTGGGTGTTGAACAATGAGAACACATGGACACAGGGAGGGGAGCATCACACACTGGGGCCTGTTGAGGGGTGGGGGGTAGGGGAGGGCTAGCAGGGGATGGGGGGATTGGGGAGGGATAATATTGGGAGAAATACCTAAGGTAGGTGATGGGGGGATGCATGCAGCAAACCACCATGGCATGTGTATACCTATGTAACAATCCTGTACGATCTGCACATGTATGCCAGAACTTAAAGTATACACACACACACACACACACACACACACACACACATATATATAAAGGAGTCAAGAAACCAGGTAATCAATCAAAGGCCATGTCCAGCCAAAAGCAGTGAGAACACAGCTTCCATTTGTAATGGTTGCATCAGGGAAAGGATTTATTGATCCACACCGTTTTCTTGGATTTTCCATCCTCCCCAGGGAGCAGAGGTGGGTTGGTTGTGGGGTGTGTTGGCAAAGGCCAGCTCCTCCCTGGTGTGGCTTGTGTCAGTGTCCACAGCCACTCTGTCAGATCCGCATCATTTCTGTGATTCCCAAGCTGTCTACTGAGTAAAACGCTCAGCACGGATTTAGAGGCCAGGCTGGGTTTTAAGTATTCGTCCGCTTTCCTCTTAATGGTCGGTGCAGATGTGTTGGGACCGACTTCAGAGTGTTCCTGAGCCATGACTGCCTGACTCCACAGATGGCTTCAGGAAGACGGCACAGCAGAGAGACCTGTGAAAGTTGATGGAATCCAGAATTACCTGAAGGAGAAGCATCAAGTAGCCCCAGAAGCCTCTCTGCACTTCTCCCTAATACACACACACACACACACACACACACACACACACACACACACACACGATTATAAAAGTCAGCTTTGTGGCAACTTGTGATTTTTAAATGCCAGTTATATAATTTCTTTGAGTTCCACATACGCATGAGTATATCACTAGAATCTCTTTGTTGGTCCATGGACATTTCTATCAATTCCTATTTCATTTGCTAATACGACAGAGTAAGTTTTGAGTGACAAGCTCACTCAATGACAAGCTACCCCTCTTGCATAATCTTGCACAATCCTTCACATTTTTTGCAGTATAATTTCATCTGGCCTTCCAGTTACACACAAACTCAAAATTCTGCTATAAATTATTATCAGGATTGCACTGGATTTACTGATTTATTTAGAGGTGAATTGATGCCATTGCAAAAACTGATCTTTCTCTTCAGAAAAATGTAGTATTTTAAAATATTATATGAATATTCAAACTGAAGTCTCATAAAAAGTGGCATGTGTGTTTTCCTTATATTTTTCTTCATCATTTTTCTAGATATTTCAAAATGTTTGCAACCAATGTAAATCGAATAGCTTATTTCTATAATATTGCCTATTTGGAAGATTGTGCAAATTTTTAATTTATTTTTGTATTCATTTATTTGTACTGTAGAGATGGGTCTCCCTATGTTGCCCAGACTGGTTTTGAACTCCTGGGCTCAAGTGATCCACCCTCCTCAGCCTTCCAAAGTACTGGAATTATAGGTGAGAGCCACTGTGCCTGACCTAGTATGCAAAGTTTTCATGCTTAACTTCTATCAATCAGCCTTTCGCGACTTATTTCCTAGGTGATTGCCTTGGATTTCTGGGATGTCAGCGCCTTAAGAGACAGTTTTCCACTTTCTTTGTTAATAAAATACATCAATACGTTATCGTCCCTCTCCAAATTGTTTAGAACACTGAACACGGCCTCAGGGTCTTTACATGGTTCCGTGTGGGCTAGGAGAAAACTTGAAGGACTGAGCCTTCCTTCACTGCCACTCAAGAAAAGGAGTGTGTGACCTGGGTCACTTTAGAGGATTGTAAATTTCCTCAGTTGTTACATAAGACTGAGTGGGCAGCCTGTGTGGAGGCAAGCCACATCTCCTCATAATAGTCATTTTAGTTCCTCATGAGAACCACACTATAAAAAACACAAAGCACTGTCCTCACCATTATCCCTCTGACACCCTGGAAATTCCAAGTCCTGCCTCTAGACAATACCCACCTGGGTCACATTTTAATGGTAACAACATAGTTATTCTAGACCAGAGATTTGGAAGGGAATATGGCTTGATGTCTCAAGGAACTAGTTCAGTTTTAGCATAAGATTTTCTAAAGCATTAAAAGCCCACCTGCATCCCAGGTCCACAGAATAAAGGTGTGAATCTCCATTGCACTGAACTTTGGGAGGGGCTCCACTGAACTGAGCTTTGGGAGGGTTTAGATAAATGTGAGAGACACAGCAATGTTTAATTGCAGTGTTCAGTTTCTGTAACTAAACACTCCATTTACATGAATTGTGTATTATAGAAGGAGTACTTGCAGAGTCATGACCAAGGATGGGTGCAAGATTGAGAACCAAGTAGGAAATTCGACCTGGAACTAATTCCTGAATTGGAACATAGTGGCCAAATTTGCTGATCACTACCCAGGGGAGAAGGCAAGATGCAATGGGCACTGTTAATCTACACAAAGGAGAAATTTTAATGGATTTTTGCACGAGCCAGGGACAAGCTCTGAAGTCAGGATAGTTGAGGGCTCTGTCTAGGAAGGCGACATGCACTGCAGATGGCACCTTGCCACAGGATATACCTACCTCCTCTCCCAGTAACTTCCACTCACCTTATTCAGGACTGAACCGGAAGGAAGACAGGGATGGTGGCCAGCGCTAGAATCCTGCAGACTGTTGGCACTAAGTTCTGAGGGCAGTTGTGAGTCACCAGAGTCACTATGACATCACTTGGTGCTGAACCAATCAGGCCCTGGGACTCATAGAAAGAGAGAGAGTGCCAAAAAGAGAGGTTGTGTTTCCTCTTACTGTTTACCTTATGGTCCAGATCTTTCTTCAAAAGAAACCTGAATGGAAAATAATCCTGATATACCAAGATCATGGAACATCCTTTTGTGCCATTAGCTAACCTACCTGATACACCCCAACCCTGTTTGGTAATGGGGGAGGTTATGGGAGAGTCATTTGTTCAAATTGATGCAGAGACACTATAGAGCAGTGGGTAAATACAGAGGCTTCAGATGCAGGTTTTTCCAGTTCCAATCTCACCTCTCTGTGACTCAGGCAAGTCCTTTAATCTCTCTTGAGAGGTCAAAATAGAGAACACAGTAGGCATCCACCCCTACCTTGGCACAGTGCCGGATTCAAATGAAATGCAGAACAGGGTTTTTGGGGAGGAGGCAGGGTCAGGTAGCAGAGGTGAATACAATCTTTAAACCACTGAGATTACGTTCCCAGGATGGAAACTCAGCCAGATGGACTTTAGAAACAGAAACTAGGTAGCACTTGAGAATGTCCAGTTTATTCCTCATAGAGGGGTTTGGAGTAAGATTCATACCTACTTCACCAATGATTTTCAAAGGAGGCAAATCTTATTTGAAGCTAAAGTCACATAAAGAAATTTGAAATGAGGAAACAGATCATAGCAGCCTGCAGGTTGTAGAATGAAAAAATGCAAATGTAAAGTACTGAACTTTGTTACGGATAGATTTACCAAAGAGACCTGCTCTCTCAACCAGCTGCACAACACGAATAATATAGTTCAGAAGGAAGCCCCTAACCCAGGTACAGGGAAAACCCAGAGGTGAGAAGAAGGCAGGTCTGCAAAAGAGCAACATAAAATTGAGTTAAAATTTGTGTGGATATAAGAATTACATTAACAGTCGAGCTATGAGTTAGCATTTTGAAAACAATTTAACAAGCCTGTGTGTGCACATGTGATGATCAGATTGATGCAATGTCCTTAATGTCCTCGGTCCCATCAGGCTCCTACACAGCCCCATGTGTGAGACAGATTGAAGAAACGATATGGTTGGTGCTTCAAATCAGCCCACCAAAATGTGGTGGTCTTTTTAATCAACAGACAACTGGGCAGGCACAGAATCTCATGAAGGTAGAGAGTAGAATAGTGGTTACCAGAGGCTGAAAAAGGTAAGGGGAAGGGAAAAGAAGAAAAGTTGGTTAATGGGTACAAAATACAATTATGTAAAAGGAATAAGTTCTAGTGTTCAATACCACCAGTAAAGTGAATATAGTTGTCAATTTATTGTATATTGTATATTTCAAAATAGCTACAAGAAAAGATTTGAAATGTTCTCAACAAAAAGAAATAATCAATGTTTGAGGTTATGAATATCCCAATTACTCTGATGTAGTCCATTCTCACATTGCTATAAAGAAATTCCTAAGACTGAGTAATTTCTAAAGAAAAGAGATTTAATTGGCTCATGGTTCTGCAGGCTGTATAGGAAGCATGATGCTAACATCTGCTTGGCTTCTGGGAATGCCTCAGTAAACTTACAATCATGGTGGAAGGTAAAGCAGGGAGCGAGTATGTCACAAGGCCACAGCAGAAGCAAGAGAGAGATGGAGGAGATGCCATGCACTTTTAAATGACCAAGCATCACAAGAACTCACTCACGATCATGAAGACAGTACCAAGGGGATAGTACTAAACCATTCATGAGGAATCTACCCCATGATCCCATCACCACCCCCTAGCCCCATCTCTAATATTAAGGATACAATTCTACATGAGATTTGGGCAGGGACACACATCCAAACTACATCACCTAATTTTATCATTAAACATTGTATGCATGTATCAAAATACCATATATATCCCATAAATATGTACAATTATTATACGTTAATAAAAAAGAAATAAAATAAAGTCTGTGTTCTTAAATACTATTAAGTCACCATTTATGGTCACATAAATACTCCCATTGCATTATATTATGTACTATTGAAAACAGACAATAGCATCAGGATCCTCATGTTACACTGAAGGTCATGAATTTCATTATTTCAGCTTTCAAGGTAATTTGATGTAACTCGTCCCTTATTTCTTTATAATGATAGACTCTTAACTTCTTATCAAATGTCACAATATCACCTTAATAAAATATATACATGGTGTTGTTGAACTATACAATTATTTCTATAATACAGAGATTATTAGCTGCATGGAACTGTTGCACATTAATGAATTATCTACAATATATATTAAAATATGCAAATCTCAATATTCTCTATCACAACATTCAAAAATGTATTTATTTAAAAGTGACATTAAATATGAAAGCATGTAGAATGTGATTCTGCTTTTAGGCACTAGTGGTTATTTAGAGGTAAGAAAATTATTTAAGATATAATTAAAGTAAAATCTTAGTAAAATACCCCTTAAAATTTTAAGATAACACATTTAACTCATAAATATATGTGGAAAGAGTAAGAGAGATTTTAGTAATCTTTTACCTTTGTAGAAGTATCATTTTAGCATTCTACCATATTATTCATCTTATAACAAATCTGTAATTTTAGATATTGCTATCATCATCTTATAGATTATAAATCCCAGGATTAAATTTAAAAAAGAATGCCCAAGGTCTCATATGTAATAAAGAAAAAGTAATTCCTAGATCTAAGTAGTTTTTGATTGCTTTGTGCTTTTTGATTGATGTGACGGCTGCTATACGTTATATGATACAGACAGTGCTGCTACTCAAGAATTAAAATTTGACAAACGTAAAATATCCATGTGGAGACTAGACACCATCAGTAGGAACTTGGTTGCAAACATTATCCACTCCATGTCACCCTGACAGATGTTAATAGCAAGTTTTATTACGGTGAGGATAATATAGTAACTGAACCTCACATGTTAGTGGGAGTATAAACTGGTAAAACCATTTTGGAAAAACTTTGTTACAGATATTTACAAATTTAACTGTACGTCTGCCATATAACCAGAAATTCCTCTCTTTGGTATTTATCCAAGAGAAATGAAAACATATGCCCCAAAATATATGTGTACCAGAAAGTCCATATAGCTTCATTAGTAATACTCTCAAATTGAAAACAACCCAATTGCCTGTAAAGGTTAAACAAGTTTTGATAGCACCTTACAGTGGAATAGCTCTCATCAATAAAAAAAATAAACTTCTGATACATTCAATAATGTGGGTGAGTCTCAAACATTTTGCTGAAAAGAAAAAGGACCAAATTTATCTATTATTCTATGCATATGAATTTCAAGAAGAGGCAAAATTAGTCTGTTTTCAAGAACAATCAAAATCAGAAGGTTGTTGGTGGTTGAGTGCAAGAGTGCATGAATATAGGTTTTGGAGGTGATTTAAATGTTCTATATTTTGATTTGATTCTGGTTTACCTGGGTGTATGAATTTAGCAACTTAATAAATTATATACTGAAGATCTGTGCATTTCGCTTTAGGCAAACTCTACTGCAAAATTTTTTAAAAGATTAACAACTACTTTAATAAATTCAGTTTGGCCTGGAAAACAAAAACAGAAAAATGTTAACTTTGAACTTCCTTTCTTCTGACTTTTTATTTGTTTTCTTTAAACTTGTAATTTGTTTTCTCCCATCTAAATCTAACCAGTCTTTAAAGCCCACTTCAGTTAGCATCTCCAGGAATTACCCTAGATATAGTTGTGTGCATTCTTATAACAACTATCAGAAATGATTGTATCTTATAATAATTTGTGTATGTGATATATCTGTAAACCTAAGTGTACATTGTTTAATGCAAATAATACACCTGTTCATTCAAGAAATATTCAAGGAATCAGGCATTGGGATGGGTTTTGGGGAACCTAAGAAAAATAATATTGTCTTGGTCTTCAAGGCTATTTTTGCTTTGAATTAATTTGTTTACTGAACGAATCCATTATTAGAATTTAATCACATTCCTGGCTGGGCACAGTGGCTCACACCTTTAATCTTAGCACTCTGGAAGGCCAAGGTGGGAGATTCACTTGTGTCCAGGAGTTCAAGACAAGTCTGGGCAACATGGCAAAACCCCGTTTCTACTAAAAATACAAAAATTAGCTGGGCATGGTGATGCATGCTTCTTGTCTCAGCTACTCAGGAGGCTGAGGTGGGAGGATCACCTGAGCCCAGGAGGTCCAGGCTGCAGTGGGCCAAGATCGCACTGCTGCACTCCAGCCTGGGCAACAGACTAAGACCCTCCCTCAAAAAAAAATTTTTTTTTTTAATTTAACCCGGTAGGATTCGGTGGCTCACGTCTGTAATCCCAGCACTTTGGGAGTCCAAGGCAGGCGGATCCCAAGGTCAGAAGATCGAGACCATCCTGGCCAACAGGGTGAAACCCCATCTCTACTAAAAATACAAAAATTATCTGGGCATGGTGGTGTGTGCCTGTAATTCCAGCTACTCAGGAGGCTGAGGCAGGAGAATTGCTTGAACCAGGGAGTTGGAGGTTGCCGTGAGCCGAGATTGCACCACTGCACTCCAGCCTGGCGGCAGAGAGAGACTTTGTCTCAAAAAAAAAATTAATCTACAACATTTATTCAACAGATATGGTGGTAATATCTACCACATTCAATGAAGTATTCTCAGGCAGTACGGATTACGATTATGATAAATAAAACATGGCTCATAACTTCAAAGAGCTTAACATGAAAGCCAAACAACCAAATAAGTAATTTTTCAAAATACCGTCAGATAACTACAAAATGCCAAATGAGTTTACAGGAATCAAACTAGAGAAAGGCTCCTAGTGAGAGACTTTTAAAATGAGACTCAAGGAAAAAATAGCAGGCAGATGTTAGGTTGAACCATATAAAATTGCTGAGATGCCACCATTTTTGCAAAATCAGTGATTACATGTGGCTCAATC